CGGGCACGTCCCAGCCGGCTCAGTGGAGGGTGTGCTGCACCCACTCATGTCACATGAGCTCCACCCACTCCACAGAGGGTTGCACAGCAAGGATCTCTGGGACGCCCCCAGGTGCCCCCACCCCAGGCAGGTCTGGCCTCACAGTGGCTCAGACCCCGGGCCTCGGGGAACAGAGCTGGCTGGGACCACAGCCAAATTAGGGCTCATCTGTGGCCTGGGCCAATTGGAGGGCCTGAGTCCTCGCCAACCCAAGGATGTGGGCACCGAAGACCCCAGCAACTGGAGAAAGACTTGGAAACCTGTGTCCCTGCATCAAGTGCTGAGCCCCAGGAGCTCATACGCAGCGCGGAGAGCAGGGCCTCAGCGTCCACGGAGGCGGCTCTGCCTTCATCAGATAATGCCCCGTCTCCAAGAATGGCAACGACACCCTACAACGCCCCTCTTCCATGACACCCGTTGTGCAGACAGGAAGGGAGCTTAGAAAGGCTGGGGGCTGACCCAGTTGCTGGCACCCTTGTCTGGCCATTCCGTTACTGAGCGCCTCCCGTCTGCTGGCACCGTCCTAGGCACTGTGGGCACATGGGAGCTGGCACGCTCCCTCCTGGAGCTGAGTTGGGGGTAGACGGGCTGTAAACCCCCCGTTGCCAAAGACACAAACAAAGACAAAACACTACATGAGTGCCTCACCCACGCCTGGGGCTGTCTGAGGAGGCGGCAGGTGCACTGAGACTGGCGTCTGGCTGGCTGTGGGTTGGGGAGGGGGCTGGGCTGGGAGGATGATGGGGACACGTCAGGGGAAATGTCAGGTGGGCCAAGAGCTTCTCTGGAAGGCAGCCCAGTGGGAGGTTCATGGCAGGATTCCTCTAAGCTGCGGGTCTCCTGCTGGAGCAGAATCAGACCCCGTGGCAGCAATGGGCCTGGTCGCAGGGCACAGGGGGCCCACGTGCTGGGCTGCCTCTCCCTTTGCGTGGGTGCAACTGAGCTGTCTCAGGGTTTGCAAATCCAAAGGCTCAGCCTGTGTCTGCACAAAGAGCTCTGGAAGGTTCCAGCCGCTGCTCTGGGTGTGTGGCCACGAAGTCCTCCCCTGTCGCCACCGGCCCCCTCCTGCCCAGGTGTGCTGCAGCCCAGCTCCTCGCAGCTCCGTGAGCACATGGCCTTGTGTGGACCCGAGGCCAGCAAGGTCAGGCCCAGAGAGCTGCCCCCAGCCTCAGTCTCAGACACGAGTCCCCTCCCCACCCCTCAGGCCTGCTGCCAGCTGCTGGGGGTGAGGCAGGTGGAAGTCAGCACTGGCCCAGGCTGACCAGGCAGGGGCTTGGTGGGATCAGCTTGTGAGGGAGGCGGAGCCTACACGATGGGGTGTGTGGGTGTATCATTGGCCGGGAGGTGCCACAAAATGAAGTCAGAAACATGGTGCACATATGTGCGTGCATGTGAGCATACATGTGTGAGTTATGTGTGCACATGTGAGATGTGTGTGCATGTGTGCATGTCAGTGTTTGAAACCTCTGGGCCTCTGACTGTCAGGCCAGCTCATCCTGCACCAGCATGTTCACTGGATCCTGGAGGGGACCTGGGCTGTGGTCCCGGGGGAGGGGTGAGCAGGCTGCTTCCCACCTCACCCCAGGTCTTGGCTGGCTCCTCCCTCCCCAGCCTTAGGAGAGGCACAAGGAGCAGTGCATTGACGCTCAGAAGAGAAAACCCTGCTTTCTGAGAGTGGGCTGCTGGCCCCACCAGGGACTGCTCCCACTGGGCACCCCCACCCCCCACCCCACCCCAAGCAGCCCGCTCAGTGTCCACGGAGGGGCACAGGGGGGCCTGTCACCTGTCCTTCTTGGAGGTGGGCAAAGGCCACTCACCTGGTCTTGGGCGGAGCCCCACGTGGGGAAGGAAGGGGGCAGCCGGCTGCTGCTTGGGGCCCTGCCTGCCTAGACGCAGCCTCGCGGCCAGAGGCAGGCTGGCCAGGCTGCCTGACCTGACCCTCCCTCTGCCCTGGTGCCCAGAGCCGGCACTCAGCAAACGTGGCAGAATGGAGTGAACTGTGGGAGCCCAGTGGGCGATGGAGGGGGCCACCCACCCTGACACTGGCCCAGAGCTGGATGTCACAGGACCCCCGAGGAACGCCCTCCTGTGGCCCTGGGATTACCATCAGGTGGGGGTGTGGCTGCCCAAGGCAGGCTGGACGCAGGGTCGGCCATGGCCCCCGCTGAGCCTCCCCTGCACTGCACTCCCTCCTTTGGCCTCGTTGCCAGTGCGTCTCTGGTTCAAAATCCGCCTCAGCATGAGCTGGAGTGACTGTGCACCTGGTCCTCTCAGGCGTCGGGAGCAGGAACGCTGAGCCTCCTGGGAGCGCCGGCGCCCCTCACCCTGATGACTGGCAGCGCGCAGGTGGGCGCCGCACACGAACTCAGCTCGGATTAACCGGGGAAGACACCGGCCGCGGGCGCCATGGCGCTGCTGAGGCCCGCGGAGGCACGGCGCCCGCGTCCCCGGGCGGTCACGCCGGCTGCGCACCCGCGGGGAAAGCGCCCGATCCCCTCGCCGCCCTGCCTGGGACAGGAACGCCAGACGTTCGGATCCTCCTTAGTGCAGACGTCTGGATTCAGTCCGCCGGAAGATACTGTGATGGGAAATTCAGGCTGCAGACGCAGCTCTGCGGAGCCGTGTGTCAGGTCATTTGCCAAAAGTAGAAAGCAAATGTAGAATCCTTTATTTTTTTATTTTTTGCATCCCAAGGTTTTCCGGGCAGTTTTGCACAGTGAGAGAAGAGGACGACGCTGCCGCTGGCGATGTGAAGGCTGGGCGCTGGCAGACCCGCAGAGCAGCAGGCAGGGCTGCTTCTGTGACAGGGCCCAGGGGCCTAGAGTCCCCCAGAGGAGACGCTGACCCACCCCCGGCTCTTGGAGATGGCCTGCAGTCCTTCCGTGCTGCCATCTCCCGTCCTTCGTGGAATGTATAACCAGCCTTGAGCCATCTTGAATTCTCCTTCTGCCTCTAGAAATAGCTGGGCCCCTGGGGGAGCAGTGAGGGCTCTGTAGAGGGAGGGGCTGGTCCTGGCAGCCCCCTACCTTCTGGGCGCAGCCCCGGCTGTGCTTTGCCTCCTGCACACCCTTGGCTCCCAGCCCGCCCTTCCCACCCCCAGCATGGGAGTTTATTCAGACCTGAGTGCGGGCACAGAGAGGATGGCCAGGTGTCTAGCACATCACCCCTCAGTTCCACAGTCCAGACGTCCAGCTGGACCTGCCTGCACCTGGCTTCTTGGACATGCTCAGTGTCCAGTCCTGTGTGCTGGGCTGAAGGAGTGCTGGGACAGTCTCCATGCTCCATGCTAACCAAGACTCGCCACCCCGAGCATCCAGGATCTGGGAGAGGGCAAGAAGGCAGAGGCACAGACAGAGGGACAGACACAGGGACAGGCACAGGGACAGACAGAGAGTCAGGCAGAGGGACAGAGGGACAGGCAGAGGGATGCACAGAGGCCTGCTGTAGGCATGGCTGGCGGGAGTGTCCCTGGGCTGCAGTAATAAAGCTCCACAAGCTGGCTGGCTGAACACAGCAGGTGTGCATCCTCCCTCAGTGGGGCTGCAGTCTGAGGTCAGGTGTGGGTGGGGCTGTGCTCCCTGCAGAGCCTCCTGGGGAGGGTCCATCCTGCCTCTCCCAGCGTCTGGGGCCCCCAGGTATCCTTGCCTGTGGCCGCATCGCTCCCGTCTCTGCCTCCGTCATCACGTGGACTTCTCCCTGTGTGTGTGTCTCCAGATCTCCCCATCCTTGTAAGGACACCAGTCACTGGATTTAGGGTCCCCCTGCTCCAGTGTGACCTCATCTTTACTGATGACATCTCCACAGTCCCTATTTCCAAACACAGTCGCACTACAGGCATGAGGGTGAGGAATTGAACTTATCTTTTTGGGGGATGCGATTCAGCACACGACAAAGGGGGCCCACGCCTGCTCCCTCCCTTTCCAACCTTGAGGAAGCCTCTTGCTGTTCATCTCTGTTACGACAGCACACCAAGAACAGTTGCCACGGAGTCTCCATGCTTCCCCCCACTTCCAGTTTGGCCTCGTCTGCTCCACGCCCGTCTAGAGGGGCCGTCCTGGCCGCAGGGACTTGAGGCAGCTTCTTTCCCAGCCGATGCATGGGCTCAGTCGCTTCGTTGTGAATGCTGAGCTGGCTGGACAGACAGACAGATCAGACACAAGCAGGAGTAACAGCAGTGCCTGACCCAGCGTGGGCCTGACCGTGGAGCCGGGGGTCCGAGGGCTCTCCATTACGGTGCCCTGCATCAATTCTGTGCTAGCTCTACATGGCGTTGACGTGCTGAGATAAAAAGTGAGTCATTCTGGCAATTTCCAAGTCTCTGGAGAGCTGCCAGGAAAACATACAAATTAAATATTCTCGTTGGCCGCCCGGGATCACGCAGACCTGGTTTCTCACACGCCAAGCGGAATATTAGTGCAATTACCACCGGTGCCAGCACAGGGACTCCGGGAAGGGAGGGGCTGGAACTGGGAGCCTCGGTGTGGTGCCGAGCGGTGAGTTCCTGGAAACACCCAGAGACGAGCGATCCTGTCCTGAGATGTGGCGGCAGGTCGGGGCCTAGAAATCAAAGATGTGGCCGAAGGCTAAGGGATGCGGTGGCTTTCAAGTGGCTCAGGAGAGGCTCTTGGGCCTGGCTGCGGGGGCATCTTGCCTCTTTCACTGTGCTGGCTACGTGACCTGGAAGCAATAATTCAGTCTTGCCACTCTCAGTCTTCTCCTCTGACAAGTGGGGCCAGTGGTGGCCCAGCCCCACTCGGGTGAGCTGAGAGAGGGTCGGACGAGGTCGTGTGCGTGTGGCATTTCGTTTGGGGCTGGGCACATAGTAGGTGCTTAACGTTGTGTGCTCTTCCAGACAGACCCGAATTTCTCAAAGTGGTCTCGAAACCACTCACAACAGAATCACAATGGTGGGCGGGGTCTTGGTAAAAATGAAGCATCACAATCCCTGGGGTGGCCTTGCATGTCCAGCTGTGAAGAAGTCGCTGGTCCGGGCTCGCCTCCTGCCACTGGCAGTAAAAAACGCACGAAGTGCAGGAGGCCGGGATTCGCAGATGTGACAGCACAGGATGGACTCCATGGGAGAGGGGACACGGGAGGCGAGTGCCGGGTTTGCCCCGCGTCCTGCCTGTGTTGAGATGTGGAGCCCAGGCAGAGTTCAGAGGTCACGTGGAGCTGAGGAGGCAGAGCCGGGGTTGGGAGCTGCTGAGGCATTTCACCGTCTCAGGTCGGGTGCTGGAGGGGAAGGGCCTGTGCAGGAGGGGAGGGGGCAGGGGCCTCTGGGTGGGGGTCGTGTGGTCCTTGGTGAGGGCTGGGCTGCCCATGCTCAGGGTGAGACCGCAAGGCCCAGCAGAGTGGGGCTACTGTGGGCTGCTTGCTGCACGGAGGTGCCAGGTACACATGAGGCTGGGGATGCTCTGAGCTCCTGCCAGTCTGAGTGCAGTGACATTGCGGACCAGAGAGGCCCTGCCTTAGGGTTCACGGCCCCACCTCACACTAAGGAAACTGCCCTAGGGTGAAGGACAAAACTGAGGAGGACCAGCCCTGATGAAGCGTGAAACCAGCAGTCCCAACAACCCCAACCCACACCCGATGATGGGCACACGTACGTGTTCCATCTGCACAATGCGATGCGAGTCAGCCACAAAGCAGATGAAGCACTGACACACTGCATGTGGATGAACCTTGAACACGTCCTGCTGAGTGAGCACAGCCACACACAGAAGAGCACATGTTGTGTGACTCCATCTAAGTGAAGTGTCCAGAAGAGGTGAGTCTATAGAGATGGTTGCCTGGGTGGCAGAGAGGACGCAGGGCACTGCCAAAGGGCATGGGGTTTCTTTTTTGGGTGATAAACACATTCTTAAATCGACTGTTATGATGGTTGCACAATGCTATGAATATACTAAAAACCATTAGTTATACACTTTAAGTGAGCAAATTGTATGGCATGTGACATATCTCAAAAGTACAAAAAAAAAAAGGGAAAAAAATGTAATCACTAGAAACAGAACTTGAGATGACCCAGATGTTGGAATGGCCGATAAGGACTTTCAAACGGCTGTTGTAAATATTTTCAAGGATGTAGCTGACAACATGGACAAAAGGAGAGAACTGATGGGGGAATTTCATCAGAGAAATGGAAGCCATAAGATTGTCACTGGGCAGGCTGAACAGCACACAGGAAACTGCAGAGGAAAAGGTCAGTAAGCTTGAGGACAGGTCAACGGAAATTATCCAGTTGGAAGAACATTGAGACCGCGGGACTCATGTCTGTTGTGTGTGGGGGTGAATATACCTAGTGGTCTAGTAAATATGTAATTGTGATCCCAAAAAGAGGAGACAAAATGAGGCATAAAAATATTTAGAGAACAACCAGCGAAATATTTCCCAAATTTGATGACAAATATCAACCCACTGATACAAAAAATAAGACAAATACAGAGGAAACCATACTTACACACAGCATAATTAAACTGCCTCAAACTGGAGAATAGGAGAAAATCTTAAAAGCAGTCAGAGAAAAAGGACCCCAAGAAACAGGGCAACAATAGCTGCTTCTCATTTTAAACAATGGATCCTGAAGACAATGGAATGATGTCTTAAAAGCGCTCCATTGAAAAAAAGCCTGTCAATCAAGACTTCTATATCCAGTGGAAATTATCCTTCAAAAATGAGGGTGAAATAAAGACATTTGAGGGTTTTTTTTAAGCTGAGAAAATCTGTTGCCAGGAGACATGAACTACAAAAAATGTTTAAGTTCTCCAGGCTGCAGGGAAATGAAACTAGATGTAATGCATGCCTAGGAAAGAATGAAAGGCATTGGAAAAGTAAATATCTGAGTCCATAAATATTGTGAAACTTGTAAGAGTCCGAGGTGGGCAAGTAGGATGACCCCATCATGAGCAGTCTGTGCTTTATGTAGAGCCGCTCAACATTAACTGCAAATGGCCTGTTACAAGTTAGGAATTCATATTGTAACTCCTACAGCAACCACTGGGAAAAAAGAGTTTTATTTTGTTTATAAGTCAATAGAGGAGATAAAATGAAATACTAAAAACACTTGATTTGCCAAAAAGCAGAAAGGAAAAGTAGAACATAGCATCAACAATAAGCAGAACAAAAGGAACACACCCAGCAAGATGGCAGACTTAACCCAACCATGTCACAGTCACGTTCAGTGGAAATGGACTGAACACTCCAGTTCAGAGGCAGAAATGGTCAAAACTGGACCAAAAAAGCAAGACCCAGCTACGTGCTGTCTGTGAGAGATGCACTTTGAATACAGAGCCCCAGAGAGGTCGAAAATGAGAGGAGGGAAGGGTGTGTGGTGCAGCAGCAAGCATGGATGTGGCCACAGAGCATCAGGCGAGGGGCTTCCCCAAGAGGATGAGGTCTATTTCATAATGAAAAGCTCATTGCATCAGGAAGTCGTAAGTCACAGACATGGGGCACCTTGTGCCAGAGCTTCAACTCTGTGAAGCAAAGTGAGAAGCAGAGAAATCCACAACCAGAGCCCGAGATTTCAGTCCCTCTTGCAGTCTTGAATGGGACGAGGAGCCAACAGTCAGTAGTGGTCTGTAAGAGGTGGACAATGCTGCCAACCAACTCGACCTAATGGGCAGTTACAGACCCCTGCACCAGACGAGTGCCAAATTCACAATCTTTTCAAGTGCTTGGAGCATCCCCTGAGATAAGCCATATGCTGGACCTTAAAATGAGGCTCAGTTGTCTCAAAAGATGGACGTCTCCAAGGGCATGTTCTGTTGGTGCGATGGGATTAAGTTAGAGATCTACATAAAACCCCAGTATCTGGACATCAAGCAGTACATTTCTAAATCTCCCCTGGGACCAAGGAGAAACTATCAGGGAAACCAGAAACTATTTCTAGTGAAATGAAATAAAAATGCAGCGTATGGGAATTTGTGGGATACAGCTGAAGGCGTGTTCAGAGGGGAGCTTTAAATGGTTGTTGTGGAAAAGCAGAGAGATCTAAATGTTCAAAATAAATTATTTTAAGTTTTCACCTAAGACTATAGGAAAAGAAGAATAAATTAAACACAAAACAAGTCAAAGGAAGAGAATAGTAATGATAGGAATAGAATCAATGACTCAGAAAACAGGCAAACAGCAGAATCACCAGCCAGAAGTTAGCTCTTGAAAAGATTAATAAAACTGACAGCCCCTAGCAGGAGTGATCGAGGAAACACTCACATGTTCCAGCACCGGGAAGAATACTGTGGGCATTAAAGGGTGATAAAGGCTGTTAGGAGCAACTTATACCAATAAACTAGATAATGTAGACAAAATGGAAAAATCCCTTGAAAAACACAACTAACCCAAAACTGACACATGAGGAAACAAAAAATATGAATAGTTCTACATCTGTGAAAGTTAATGAATTAATAACAAAAACACCTTACCACAGAGAAGACTCCAGACCTGGCCAGTTTCACTAGTGAATTCTGCCAAAACCTAAGGAAGAGATATTATAAATCTCACATAAACTCTTTCAGAAAATAGATGATGAGGAAAAACAACTTGCTTTCCGAGGCCAGCCAGTGGTTTGCTGGTAAATGTTTGACAACTAGCTTTCTAGGGGAAAAAATCTGGTTTGCAATGTTTGCCAGTTTCTGTGATGTCCGTCCTTGCACTTTGGCTGATTTCTGGTTAGCAATGTGACAGGTGTATGCAGAGTTGGGAAGAGAGGTGCACAGGTGAGTCAGGCCCAGCACACCACTGAGGCCAGCATAGCCCTGAAACCAAAACCGGACAAAGATATTATAAGTAAAGAAAACTACAGACCAAATATTTCTTATGGACAGAGGCAAAAAATTCCTGAAAATATTAGTAAGTTAAATCCAGTGATATAATGAAAGGACAATGCATTATGACCAAGGAATGTTTATCCCTGGAATGCAAGGTTGGCTCAATATTCTAAAATCAGTTGATTTATTTTACCATCTTAACAGAACAGGGGAGAAACCCATATGATCATCTAAATAGATGCAGAGAAAAAATTCACAAAAGTCAACACCCACTCATGACAGAACGTCTCCACAAACGAGGAATAGGTGGGAGCTTCTGGAGTCTGAGAGAAGCCACCCACAGCTGAGGCTGTGACAGCTCCTCTGTGTGTCAGCCCGAATGCACCTCTGGGGCCCAGCCCAACTGTGCTGGGAGGAGAGTAGCACCTGAGTCAGGGGGCTCAGTAGGGTGGGTGCTACCCCGTGTGATGGCGCCTCATCTGATCTGCTGAGGCTGCAACAGAACAAAAGTGGAGGAAAGAGGAATCCACCCTTTTGCTTCCTGCCTTCTGCCCAGCGGAGCTGGGACATCTGTCCTCTCCTGCCCAGGGACGGGGACTCACACCGTCGGCCCCCCTCGTTCTCAGACCTTTGGACTCGGACTGAACTACACCACCGGCTCTCCTGGGCCTCAGCTCTCAGACAGAAATTCATGGGGTTCTCAGACTCCATAATCGGATGAGCCAATTCATCATAATCTCTAGATGGATAGATGATAGGTAGATAGATAGATAGATAGATAGGTAGGTATATAGATAGATAGATAGGTAGATAGATAGATAGATAGATAGTTAGGTAGATAGATAGATAGATAGATAGATAGATAGATAGATAGATAGATAGGTAGGTAGGTAGATAGATAGATAGACAGTTAAGTAGATAGGTAGGTAGATAGATAGATAGATAGATAGATAGATAGATAGATAGATAGATAAAGTCGATCCCAGTCAGTGTTTCAGGAGAGCCGGCATGCAGACACCACTGGAAACCAGCCCCACTGGGTATGCAGCCCTCCCAGTGGATCACGTCCTGCTGATGCCCTGGCCATGGCGGGTGGTCACCTACTTACTGTGTGACTTTCCCCAAAGTCATGGAATATACTTGTGCCTCAGTTTCTCATCAGTGAAACAGGAATGGTGAGGGCCCTGACTGCCTCCAGGATTCATGCTTATGAACGACTTTTCATAGAAAAGCTTGTGCGCTGACCGTTGATATCATTCTTGCACCACCAGAACTTCCAGGGCAGGAGAAGGCTGGGGGCTTCGGGTGGGTGCGAAGGCACCGCAGCCTGTGCTCCAGGAGACATCTACAGTTGGGCTGCCCTGCCGGGGAGGCTGCAGGACTGTCGGGACAGTGGGGGTGAGGGGCCTGCCCCCTCCTCTGAGCCCCAGAGCAGGCTCGTGTCTCCTTTCACGATGCCCCTGACAAAAGCTACACTTCCTGGTGCCTGAAGGCAGCCTTCCTCTTCCAGGGAGCTGCTGCGCACGCCTCACCTGCCCCCAGCTCAGCACCTTTCCCCAGGTGCGCCTGACTGTGTCGTCCTGCTCTGCTGTGTGCAGCCTTCCTGGCGCAGGGCTCGGTGACACAGGGCTTTGTAGGAGCCTGGAAGGTAGGGCGATTGCTCCCCACTGAGTCCCAGCCTGGCACACTGTGGGCACTCAAAAAATATTGGAAGGAATGTTGGAGCAAATGAAGGAGCTGCTGGAGGGGTCAGAGTGACTGGGAACAGGGGGCGTTCAGGGAGTTTTGCCAGAGGAGGTGGATGCTTGGGCTGGGGAGTAGTTGGCGGGACCTCAGAGGGACCCCGCCTTCAGCCCAGATGAAGACTGCGGTCCCGGCTGGCCCCCCACTGTGTGTGCGCTAGCTAAGTTAATTACAGCCACGCGGAGATGCACTGCAAATTGTTCCCAGTTAAAACTGCAAATTCACTGGAACAAGGAGTGCTAATTATATTCCACTTGTTACCACTGCGTCTCGTTAATATTCCAGCAGCTGCTCCGGCAAGATAATGATGGCTCCAGCCGAAATACTGGGAAGATAGATAAAAATCAGTAACGACACAGTTCCCAGAGCGTTTGCCCTCCGCACACACAGTGAAGCCCTGACGGAGTGGACGCTCCCCGACAGATGAAAGCGGGAGCATGTCTGCGTGTTCATTTAACACACTCAAACAAAGACTGTGGGAACGCTCACCAGCGCGTCCTCCGACGGGTGTGCAGTTCCACGCATCAGACTCTGTCCTTGCAGACCGAGCGTCCCACCCCGGTTTGGGATCTGTTTTGGATTAACTGTGTTGTGTTGTGAGGAGGACTTCTAGAAACCTCGCCACCGAGGCCACGTTTTCTCCCAGCCTCCTTTCTCCATGAGGCTTTTGCACTTGGCTGCTGTCTTGCTGTGCAAACAGATTTAAAAATTGCTGTTATGACAATGGGGCTTTTTCATAACTTCGAATGTGAGATGAAGTGATACTGGAGTAGCAGTTGCCAGAACAACAGTGTGCCCAGATCATGGGCAGCGTAAGCCCCTTTCATGGCACACTTAAACGGGCTGGAGGTCTCACTCCCCGGGAACAAAGCAGCGCCTACCGTCATTTAAAAAATGCTTTTTATTTTGAAATAACTATAGATTCACAGGAAGTCACAGGACAGATGGCACAGAGACGTCCCCTGCAGATTCCTCATCTGTAACGTGCATGACATCTTGCACAGTCCAGCACCAGGGCCAGGACGTTGCGTTGTGCAAAGCATGTGCCTAGTTCTCGCGGTTTATCACACGTGCAGGTTCCCGCGACCACCACCGCGATCTGGAGCACATCTGCTGCGTCGCCACAGAGACCTTCCTCCTGCTGGCCCTTTACAGTCATACCTTCCCACCCTCCTCCTCCTGTGACAGCCCCACCCCTGCAACCACTAATCTGTCCTCCGACTCTGTAGTGTTGTCATTTCAAGAGTGTTGTGTAACTGGAAACGTACTGTGTGTGACTCTTCGAGACCAGATTCTTTCACTCAGTGTTGTGCCCCAGAGACCCACCCGAGTGTCGCTGGAGCAGTAGTTACTTCCTTCTGCGGCTGGGTGTGCTCCACGTGGGGCTGCAGCACGGTTTGCTTAGCCAGGCACTATTGCAGGGCACTGCGGCTGTTTCCAGTGTGGCTATTACAAGCACGGCTGCTAGGAATAATGGTGCGCAGGTTTCCGTGGGGACATGCCTCTTCCTTTCTCTGGGGTCAGCGCCCGGGAGTGCCATTGTTGGGTCATGCGAGAAGCACGTGCTTAGCTTCCTAAGAAGGCCGGGCCATTTCCCAGAGTGGCAGCCCTGCTTTCCAGCCCACCAGCCATGGACAAGGGATCCAAATTCTCCACATCCTTGCCAGCATTCAGTGAGGTCGCTGTTTTCTGTTCCGGCCATTCTGGTGAGTGCATGGTGACACTTCACCGAGGGTTAATTTGCATTTCCTCGATGGGGAGGGATGCGGACTTCTTTGCGTGGGTTTGTTTTCATCCACATCTCCTCTTTGGCGGGAAGTCTACTTGTGCCTTTTGTCCATTTTCTAACTGGATTGTTTTTTACTGTTGAATTTTGAGCATTCTTTATATATTCTAGATACGAGTCCTTCGTTGCCTATGTGATTTGCAAATATTTTATCCCAGTCTCTAGCTTGTCTTTTCATGCCCTTAAGTTTTCTTTCATTTTGACTAATTTCTTTGATTTTATTTATTTCCACTGGAACTGATGAAGCTGTGGACTCTTTGGGTTGTAAATACTGTGTCTTCCTGCCAGTGGCCCTTCCTCCAGGGTTCCTCCATTAACCTGTAACCCGTGTGCCGACATTGGTTTGAGGCAGCTGCCGGGGCCTCAGCGGCAGAGTCGGCGCCTGTGTTTTGCAGCCCCTGGGGATTCCACGGCCGCAGGGTGAGGGCCTTCCTCTGACCGCGGGTGGCGGATGCTGCTTCTGGGGGGCCAAGGAGTCGGGTATGGTGCGCTGTGACTCGCTCTCCTGTCTCACAGGTCGTGTGCATGATGAAAAGGAGTCTGGTCATTGTTGGACGTGTGGGGTCCTCCCTGCGGCTGTTGGTTGGGTTTCTAGACTGTGGTTAGAATTGCCCGCAAATCCCTCGAAGCACACAGCCTGACTGCTGGGTCAGGTGCTGAGGCTGGATGGACCCCATGCTGGGAGAGGCCTCTGGGAGCTGTGGCTCCAAGGCCGCCCACTGCCCGCCCTCCACGCCGTCCATCCCTGCCCCAGGCTGGCTCTTCCTGTGCTCCATCCACACTGGCCCTAAGGATGTTTGTTGAGTGCTTTCCCAGGTGGCTGCCAGACAAGTATTCGCCTGGCCCCCTTTCTTTGCAGCTCTTTTTCTGACCTCTGTGGGCTGCAGGCAACTGTCCATCCCTTGTATTATCCATCTGGGAGCGTGAAGTTCCAGCACTAGGGTGGCCCCCAGCTCAGACTGGCCACACCCACCCACTCTCCTTCGCAGGTGAACTTGGTCTTAGTCTCGTGACTTCAAAAAAATTTAATTAAATTGGGGAATTTTTATTTTTATTTTTATTTTCTAGTTTTATTAATTTTGATCAGAGTAATACTCCTACTGTTTATCTCTTTTGAGTCTTATTGAGTTTTTTTTAATGGTCCCAAAGATGGTCAATTTTGGGGACATCTGCCTGCCCCCTGGGCACCTGAGAATGTGTGTTTGTGTCCCTGGAGCTGGTGTCAGGTGGGCATCAACTGAGCCTCTGTGGCCTCCTTTCTCGTGCCGTCTCCAGCCTGGCCTACCTGGTCTCCCTTACCCACCCCCCTCAAATCCCCAGTCAGCAAGTTCAAGATCAGTTAGTCTGATCCATTGCCACCTATTTTGATCTGAGAAAATGATTTTTCCAAAAGATTGATTCTGCAGCATTTTAGTTTGCTGTCTGTTAACCTAGTTGAAGTGTGCCTTTTTGATTCATGTTTGAAAGTCTTTATGAGGCTTTTTCATCAGCCAAGTGTCTGGCCCATAGTGGTGCTGGTGACCTCAGGCCTGGTGGGGAGGAAGGCAGGGCAGGGCTCCTGGACCCCCCTGGGCCCTCCTCAAGACCCTGCATGTGGCTCGTCCATCACCTGCCTGCCCGAAGGAGAAGACTGATGTGATCTGAGGGGCTACATTTTCATGTGTTTCTTACCAAAAAAGCCCCCTGCCCTGGTTCTCATCCTCTCCCTGGTCCAGCAGAGGGAGCGTGTGGCTGGATGGCCAGAGCACCCACTGTAAGTCCGGGCCCACCCACAACCCAGTGAGGCTCGTGTTTAGGGTGGGGGTCTCTCTGGGGACCCCAGCAGCCTTGGCTCCTGCCCCAGGAGCCCCCATCCCACTTAGCCCAGGGGCATTTACTCCACGCACAGGGTCCCGGGTGTCTGTGCTTGCCTGCCAGGGGTCCATGAATCCTCAAAACCAGAGGCAGAATCGTGGCTGCCCTTCTGGGAAGATCTATTGCTTTTGATAAGTCTGAAGGGTCCAAGAGTCTAAGGTCAATCCCATGGACTCTGGCTGTCAGCCTGGTGTCCTTGTGTCCAGGATGGAGATGGTGCGATTGCCCCAACCTCACTGGACTGTGGACAGCCTGGGGCTGGACGGCCCAGGGGATCGGTGCAGGGGGCTGCTCATCTGGGCTCTGAATCCAAGCTGCCCTCCTGCCTGCTGGACAAGCACCTGTGCTGCGGCTTGCCTCGGCCCGGTCCTCCTGGCTGCGGAGCCAGACTCTGGTGGCTGAATGCTGGCCTTTCCCAGGGCTGTGAGCTTTCTGGATGTGACCCTGTCTAATGTCCCCTCAGCTGACCGGGTTGCCTGCCCCTCTGCGGGAGAGGGAAGCAAAGCTCAGAGGGGCTCACCAGGTGTCGGGGCCCTTGGCTACTAAGCCCACACCGAGGATCCTGACCCAGGCCTCCCCACTTCAAAGCTTAGACTCCAGCCTCCGTGCTGTCCAGTGTCTGTGGAATATCCTGCAGGGGGACATGAGAGGGCCAGTGACACCATGGTCAGCGATGATGGCGTGGCCTCTGAAAGCCCCGAGAATGGGGCCATGTCCCCGGACTCCTCCGACCTCCCTTACTCCTGGCCCTGGGACCGGGGACTGCAGGCAGGGCCGGCTGCGGGGCTCCCTGCAGTGTTGCCATGTGGCATGGATGGCATGTGCCAGAGACAAAGGGCAGGGGCGCAACAGGCACCCACAATGCGGCAAGCAGCTGCCACGGGCCTCCCATTTGGCAGCAAAGCAAAACAAACAGGCCGCAGCCTGTGCCGCGTTCTGACGGGCAGCAGAGGCCCCGGCCGAGGGCGCCAGGGCAGAGCCCACCTGTGTGGATGGTTCTGGAGAAGGCCCCTTGCCCACTGCCTTGCTGGAGCCGGAGTCTCAGACCCTGACCGTGTCCCTGTGTGTCAGCGCCCTCTGTGGCGGGTCCTCGCCAGCCTTTGGCAACGGCCCTGGGGTGAGGGGGCTCCTGCTCTGGAATCACTGTGTCCCCAGGGAGGGGGCCACAGAAGACAAGCGGCGCCAGGTCCTCGGGGTGCTTCCACTTAGCTCTGGATCGATCGTAAGTGATTCAGCGTGTGGTCAAGCCCAGGGGTTTGGGAGCTTGGTGACCCTCTGGCCTCTTCTGCTATAGGTGGGCAGCGCCCTGATCGGGGCAAGAAGCAGGGATGCGTGCATCCTCAGAAGGAGAGGCAGCTCAGAGAGGCTGGAGAGCCGGGTGCAAGGTGTGGGCGTGGGAAGGAGCCGAGCTTGAGGGGCTGGAAGGTGAGTGGGTGACGTGTGTTTAGGGGACTGCTCTGGTGGGAATGGTGCCCGCTAGTCTATGGCGCCAACCCAGACAAGAGACAGTCCTCTCATCGGATCAAGGCTGGGAGCCACCCGGGGTGGCTGCAGCATCATGGAGTGGACCCTAGTCACTCTCTGGGGTCAGCCCTTCCTGGGGACATTGCCATGGAGCGGCAAGGCCCATGGAGCGCTGGCCTCAGACCCCACGTGCCAAACTTTTCTGTGTACCGTGTTCCACCTGGCAACCATCCTGTTCGTGGGGAGGGTCTCATCTGTTTTGCCAGCATCTGGCTCCAGATGAGGTACACACTCTGCCCCTGGCTCCCTTCCGCAGTCACAGACGCTGGTGCCGACAGGCTCCCAGGCCCCGCCCCCGGAGGAATGTGCTGGAGCACTGTTACCTGAAGCTCTATGGAAAGCTGTCTGGTCCCACAGAGCAGGGTGGTCAGTGCCGGCGCCTTGTGGGCTGGCACTGGCCCTCACCTCAGATCTGGGCATTTCCAGGGCCCTTGGTCATCCTATCCTTGTTGCTGGGCTTGTCTCAGATGCCTAGTCCAGGATGGGGCTGGCCTCCTTTGTGGGAAGTCACAGTGAATGCCCTTCCCCCTTGGGGATGAGGACAAGCCAGGGTGCGAGGTGGGCACGGCAGGGTTGTGTCACTCGGGGATGAGCCCTTGAGGGGTGCACTGTTGCTGACAGCACCCCTACGCCTGTGCTTCAGCAGAGGAAATGAGGGGGTCAATCCTTTTTCTGTGCCTTGCTTGCTGTGGGACCTCTCTGAGCCTTGATCTCCAAATCTGTAAGGTGGGTGAAGACCCTCTTCCTGCCTTATGTCCTGGGGTTGGGATCCTCATGAGGCCAGAAGAAACCAGGAAGGCTGTGTGCTAAACCACATGTGGCCTACACACTTGGTGATGTCCTGCCTTGGGGAGTGGCATAATTTCGCACTTATGGCTCCAGGTCACGTGCCCAGGCTGTGTGCGTGTGTGCATGTACATGTGCATGTGCGTGCACACGTATGGTGTATAAGTGCACATGCGTGTATGTGTGCATGTGCTTGAAGACACGTGTGCGTGTGTGCATGTGTGTATGGGTGGGTGTTTGAAAGCATGCATGTATGTGTGTGCATATGTGTATGTGTGTTTGTGATTGCACATGTGTGTGTGCACGCAATCCAGCGAGTGCTCTGCTTTCACATAGCCTCTGTCTAGGCTGTGGGCTGATGCTCACGGATCGCAGTCCCTGTGGGTGCTGACGCGAGGCCGCTGTCTTCCTGGCGGACAGATGTATGTGAGGCTCACATGCCAGTGAGCATGCCAGGCCCCTCCAAGGGAGAACAGACAGGCCTTTAATATATGGCCTGGTGGAGCCCTGGCCCTGAGTTGTGAGTGAATAATATTTATCACCCACGGTCGTACGGCGGGGTTATAAACAGTTAATCTTCACCAAAGGGCAGAATGAAATATTGTCTGATATCATTTTTAATAAAGAGAATAAATTAGGCTTAACTACCAGGAGAATCTTCGAATGCTTATTGCCGCTCACTGAATGGCATGAATTAGCCAGTGAACTCCCGTGACGCTGGGCCGTGTCTCTAGCACCCAGCACCGCACCTGCCGGGGCGGCTTCATCTGGGGCTGGAAACAGAGGCTCCAGTGAGGTCACCGCTCCTGTATGCGATGCTCGAACCCTCGGGAAGGGAAGGAGTTTCAAGACCGTGCTCCTCTCCTCCGGGTGTTGTGCTCCCACAAGACCACGTCAAAGCTGACAGGGGCTTGAAGAATGCACGGAATGATGTTATGTGCATCTGAAAAAATACGTGGCCCCAGCCCCTTGCCGTGTGGGCAGAACACCCCGGAGTT